AGGTCATGGACCTACCTTGGTTGCATTGGAATGACCAAGGAAGCCCCCTTGGACTTGGTACTAAGGTACAACATGGCTAATAGCAGGCTTGGCTGTGGCCTTCGCCCTGGGTAGTTGGGGAGTTTGTGGTTAGGTGGCTAAGGGTGAAGGCTTCATTGAGATGAACACGAAAAACATGGATGATAGCAGGCTATGAAGTCCTGCACTGTCTAAATAGAACTGAAAAGGCAAGTATAGCAGCAAGGTTTACCGTTGCCAGTGCACTTGCTGAGGTTCAAGCTGAAAAGGCAAGTGCAGCAGCAAACACTACTGTCGTGAATGCACTTGCTGAGGCTCAAAAGGTAGTTGCAGCACCAAACACTCTTGCCACAAGTGCACTTGCTGAGGCATCTGTGCCAAACAGATAGTACGCAGTACATGTAGAGGGATGCGTGACACCTTCAGCCTGGTGGCTCAAGACAGAATATTCTATGTGATCTTTAGGGACACATGTCTTCTCTCTATTTGGTGTCCTCTTGGTACCAAGGAAAATTCTATAAATATGACCCAACTTCCCAAGGTCCAAAAAGAGGATTATTGGGGATTTAGGGGAGATGTTGCCCATTTGTGCACTGCCATTAATTTTTTCTTGAGCTACTTGCGTCACCCCCACCTAGCTACTCATCCTCTAGCCATTTCGTAATTGTTGGACCATTAACATAGTTTTGCCTCTTTAATCACTACTCACATCGAACCTCCCTTACATTTTTGGTGACACTGCTGAGGATGCTGCTTTGTTGATGGTTCATACCCGCAATGGCCTACATACTTCACTAGAAAAAATGGTAGATGATGAAGTTCAACAACTATCAAGGTTCTTCTAATGGTAGAGCAACACATGCTGAGTACCATGACCACAATGTCATGGTCGAGGCAGTTCAATAACTTCAAGATACACAGAGGGAGATCTTGATAGCTTTACAAACTCTCACTGAAGCTATTATGGCCACGGTGTCCATACCAGCTCCAGCACAGGAACCTCCTCCTGTAGCAGTCCCAAATCCAGTGCCTAATCTGTTCCTCGAGAATCATGCTTTGATCTAGGTGCCTTCGACAATGCCTCAACCGAACGGAACTCTCACCGAAACTATTATGGCCATGGCCTCAAGACCAACTCCAGCACAGGCACCTTTGCCTGTAGCAGTCCCAAACCTAGTGCCTAATTTGTTCCTTGAGAATCATGCTCCGATCCAAGTGCCTCTGACAGTACCTCAGGCGAACGGTATGGCTATTGGTTTAGCTACCCAGGATCAGACTAGTCCATTCCAACCCACAAGGTATGCTCGAGCAAGAGTGTAGCAAGAAATAACTACCATCTCTCCCCGATCTAGATGTGAAACTTCTATACTCTCAAAAGATATTGGTCATGCCATACCCAACTGGGCATACAGTACCCAAGTTTGTAAAGTTTCATAGGAAGCAAGGTAATGCCAAAGGAACATGTGGTGAGGTTTATTGAAACTCTTGGCATCCATGGTAGTGACCACTCTCTACGCCTTCGGTAGTTCTCCAAATCACTTACTGAAAGAGCTTACAGCTGGTATGTGAACTTGGCTCCCAACTCGATCAAGAGTTGGAAGGAGATGGTGAACAAGTTTCACACAGAGTTCTTCAAAGTCCAATATAAAGTCACGACCCTCACACTTGGGTGAGATGTCCAGAAAAATGGTGAAGATATACTAGAATATGTAAAATGAATCCAGGATAAAGCCATTGACTATCATAAACTAGTGGATGAGGCCCACTTAGTCAAAATATGTGTGGAGAGTGCCATACGCGTCTACAAAATCTTCTTGGTGAACTATAATCTGACTACCTTTTCAGCCTTGGTTGAGGCAGCAGGAACCTCAGTACAACAGGTCTTTGCATAGATCTTGTGATAGTCATCGTTACTTCCACAGTAGCAGAGTTGCTGCAGTAACCTCCGTAGGAGGGAGCCGCTCACAAGGAGAGACGTCGTCCTCCAGGAAGAGGAAGAGTTATGAGCACAGAAACCCATATCCTTACAGCCTTGAGAATGTTAAAGGCTTGGTTACAGAATGGTTAGCTAATGGTGAACTTACTTTACCTTTGATTGATGTTCCCCCAACCAAAAAAGATAAAGAAAGCCCAGATTATTGTGTCTATCACAGAGCCACTAGACACCTTACTAAGGACTGTTGGACTTTGAAATGTATCTTTAAGAAGAAAGTTGCTGTGAATGAGTTAAAGTTCAAAGATGTTGATAACCATGTTGTAAGAAAGGACCCTTATCCTAACCACAAGGAGAAAGGAAATGTACACATGATTGGGTATCTTGGGCTTGTGCGTAATCAAGTGCATATGGCGCCCTACTATGATGAGTTAGAAGAAATCGTAGTGGGCCAGCTCCTTGAAACAGTACCTGCGGAGGCAAAACTCGTAGAGGATACTCATGCTCAGGCCTTACAAAACTCTATTAAGTTTTGTACCTTCTTTGACCAGTCGGGGCTAAACCAGGCCGCCAGGTTGGAAACAACAAAGGCCCTCATCAATATCTCTGAAATGCATCATATTAAAGTTGCTGAGGCTAAGGAGTATGTGCTTCGGCATATCCAGGAAGACTATGGGGCTATTACTTTTTCAAAAGTAGACAAAGCATACCCATTCCCCCATAACCGTCCTCTTTTTGTCATAGCTTATATCCATGATATAGAGTTCAAGCATGCTTTCCTTGATGGTGGGGCGTCCATAAACATCATCACTATCGATACCTTTGCAAAAGCTGGTATCCTAGAGTCCAGGATGGTCTGCCAACCTATTACTGGGACGAGGTTTGGTGGTGAGAAAAAAGTTACTAAGGGCCATGTTGTAGTGGACTTAGCAGTTGGTGAGATCCGCTCCGCAACTAAGTTCCATGTGATTAAAACAGACACAAATTACCACATGATACTTGGCAGAGCTTGGATGCATCGATATGGGGCTATCCTATCGAGTTATCACTAATGTGTGAAGGAAAAATTGGAAAAACGAATAGTGACCATAAATGTGTTTGAAAAACCATTTGGAGTAGAGAAGGCACACTATTCTGATGTAGTCTTGTTTACTGAACTGTCAATAGATGAAACCCCAAGGACTGGAAAAGTTGGGAGGTTCATTCCAGCCGTTGCTAAGATAACAATTTCTTAGCACTTATCGACTCTACTGTAGGCTATCAGATGTTCTTAGGCAAAGTGTCATACCTTATTCTTAGGCAAAGTGTCATACCTTAGGAGGTTCATTCCAGCCGTTGCTAAGATAACATTTTCCTTTGGGACACTGCTAAAAGGGAATCACAAGTTTGAGTGATTACAAGAACACCAACAGACATTTGATATGGTGAAGAAAGCATTTACCTCGCCACTTATAATGATTGCCCCACAACCTGAAAAGCCTCTGCTACTGTACCTTATTTCTACACCTCGGTCTATTGGAGCTTTACTTGTCCAAGACATAGATGGCGTTGAGAAGCCAATATATTACATTAATCGCAAAATCAATGGTGCTGAATCATGATATACCCCAATTGAGAGGCAATGTTTGGCCTTAATGTTCATAGCACAGAAGTTGCGCCATTATTTTTTGGCACACCCGATCCAAGTTGTGACCAGGAGTGATCCAGTCCACTACCTACGGAGCAAGCCCGCTCTGACTGGGAGAATGGCAAGATGGCTTTTGGCTCTAGCCGAATATGACATCACTAGCATTATGTCCAAGGCTATTAAGAGCCAAGCTTTTGCAGAGTTGCTAGCATAGTTCCTATCTGGTGAACATAAACCTACAGAGGTATCTGAACCTTGTGAGGTCCATGTCTCAGCAACTGCGGTTGAGACTTATTAGGACTTAAAATTTCATAGAGCCTTTGGGGATGGGAAAGGTGGAGCTAGCATAACACTAACAAGTCAAGAGGAAGAGAAGTTCCATTTATTATATAAGCTCGACTTTGAATGTTCAAGCAACGAGGTTGAATACGAAGCGTTGATACTGAGTTTGATTGTTGCCCAAAAGAAAGGCCTCCACAAGTTGAAAATTTGGCATGACTCCAAGTTAATTGTCAAGCAAACACTGGGTGATTTTGCCTTGAAGGAGCCTCTTTTGGCCCCATACCGCACCATAGTTCAGAAGTTGCTCACTCAGTTTGATGATGTCCAAATCCAACACACCCCTCAAACACACAACCGCTTCCCTGATGCCCTGGCTACACTAGAGGCAAAGGTGGACATACCTGATGATAGTATAACCATCGTCATTGAGAAAAGAACAACACCAGCAGTGTTAGCTAAAGGACATACATAGCAAGATGCTGAGGGATGAAAAGCAGATATAATCCAACGGCTAAAAACAAGCCAAGGAACAATCAGACCAGCAGAACTTGCATCATCCATGCTCCTCAGAGGAGAGTTATACTTTTGTAGTCCTAATAACCTATTAGCAAGGTGTGTCGGTAGACAAGAAGCAACTTATAGACTTAAGCAGATCCATGCTAAGTCCTGTGGGGATGATGATATCATTCTATACCGACGGATGCAGAGGCAAGGGTATTACTTAGTATTGAGTTGCAGAGGCAATGTGCAAAATGTCAATCCTATCCTAAAGAGGAGGAAGCCCATTTCTTAAGCAGTGAAGAATGGAGACAACCATATATTGACCATCTTGGAAACGGCATACTGCCTGAGAACAAAGTCAATGCAATCAGAGTTAAGAGGTGGGCCCTCCGTTTCTTCCTTGACCAAAGCAAGCTGTATCGAAGAAGCTTTGAAGGGGAACCTTTGGCGTGTTTATCAAAAGATGAGGCAAACGAAGTATTGAGAGAAGCCTACAAGGTGGAGCATCAATGAGGGCAACGACTATATGGACACCTTATCCACCTCAGCTACTATTGGCTAACAATAGAGGAAGATGCTAAAAACTTTGTAAAAAAATGCCAGTCTTATCAGAAGTTTGGAAACTTGATACATGCACCGATGGTTGAGCTGCATAACATCCAGACACCCTACCCATTTCATACTTGGGCATTTGATTTGGTAGGTCCTATAGCGCAGCAATCCAAAGGCCGCAGATGGATACTTACCGTGATTGAAGTTGGCACCAAGTGGGTAGAGGCCATACAAATGAGGAAAGCGGACGGAGCAGGAGTAACCAACTTCATCAGAGAAAACATCATCTGTAGGTTTGGCATACCCAAGGTGATGTTGTCTGACAATAGAACTCCCTTCGTAAATTGCCATGTGGAAAGGTTGTTGGACGACTCTCAAATCAAGCACCATAAGTATACTACATACTATCCTCATGGGAATAGACAAGCTGAGGCAACCAACAAAACCCTAATCCGAATATTGAGTAAAATGATGGATGAAGCAAGGGGCACATGGTCTGAACAACTCCCCATAGCACTTTGGGCATACAGAACGTCAAGGAGGAAGCCGATCCAGGCAACTCCATTTCCCCTAGTGTACGAGTATGAAGCTGTGTTACTAGTTAAGTGGCAGTACCCTCAGCAAGAATGGCTATGTCGATACACTTAGCTCTAGACAGCAGAAAGAACAACATAGAGGCCAATGAATAAAGAAAAGATCGAGCCTCGCGAGCAATGGAAAAGTATCACCAGTTCATAGCCTGCGCCTACAATTAGTTTGTTCAACACAGGAGTTTAAAGAGGGGGACTTGGTATAGAAGACGGTGGACATGATTATGCGGGGGCAATCAATCCCCAAGTTCTCACCAAGGTGGGAAGGCCCTTACAAAGTTGCTGAGGCAAGCAGCAATGGGTATTACAAGTTAACGAGAGTAGATGACGGGTTCAAAACTGGCAATATCAACGCTAAGTATGTAAAGGAATATTTTCCTTAATTTTCTTTTGTTAAGAAAAGAGTTGTAAGTTTCTCTTGTTAATATTTCGAAAGCAAAGTGTAAAGAAAGTGTCATACACTTAGTAAACTTGTCACTCTTATAAATACTTAGTTACAGTGAAATCCTGTTCATGGCAAAAGTACTAATTGCCTTGAGAAGTTATGTAAAGACAATGAATGGAAGGCAATGAAGTGAAATTCAACTACCTAATATTTTTACTCCTCAAAGAAATCAAGTTTCCCAAAGCATGATTACAATATTCAAAAGAAAAGAGAAGAAAGAAAAAGATAGCAACAGTGCCCAAAAAAAAAAAAGGAGGAAAAACCATAACAAGGTCATAATACATCAAATTAAACCCTTCATCAGGGAGTCCGTCAAAGTCACATCCTAAGGCAGGTGGACAACAAGAGCAAAGTCTTTTTCCTTGAACCGAGCCAGGTTTTGATGGTGCTGCTCTAAAGCACCCTCACAGTCTTTGATGGTCTCTTCCAAGGAGGCAATCATGGCCACATTATCCGCATGCTCGAGAAAACCATCAATTGCTTGGAGCCTAGCCCTCATCCACGACAAGTCCAAACCATTCTTTTCAAAACCACTAAGATTTGCCTCAGCACTCTCTACAAACTTTCCGAAAATTATCAAAACCTTCTTCATCACAAGGTGCGAATGAAATTGGCAAATAACTCTAACAGTGCTATTTGCACCATCGGGCCTAGAACATTGAAAGCAATAAAGATGCTAGGGTGCAATGCATGGATGTAGACAAGAATGGGAGTAGCTTCAGCGGAGACCCAATAGCTCAAAAAAGAAACTCTCGCTGAAGGCTGTGAGGACTCTCTTATACCACTACTAGCTTGAATTACGAGAGTGAGACTTGCAGAGCGACCAAAAGTCTGAGGGCGACGCACCTCCCTTAAAGATGACTGCCCAATATCGTTGGAGTCAGTAGATGCTAGGGGGTGGCCAGGTGAACTGATCTCATGGGATAGGCAAAAGCTTCCCACATCTCCCTACTACTCTGGAAAAAGGTCATCCATATGGTAGTCCCCAACAATCAAATTTGGCACAATGGTGGTGCCCATCCCCCGTATAAAAGTCTTGTGATTTCCCAAGATTAGTTGGCACCTCAAGAAAGTAATGGGATATAGATCAACAAGTTGCTCAGAAGTTGCTGAGGCAATTGGGTCAGAAGTACCAGCGACAATAGTAGCACCTGGAGTGGCCAAGTTGGTAGCTGCCTTCGTGAGTTGGGTCAAATTTGGGGGGCCCACATTAGGAGCAGCCACTACATCTTTGCCTCCCTCAGCACTGTGATACTAGATGTTATGGCTTGTTGAACTAAAGGAGACTCAGTGGATTCAGAAGAATTCCCAAATCCAGCTTCCATATAGGATGGCTCAACTTCAGGTGGCTCTTTTACTCCACGCTCTTCTCCTGGAGTTTCAGGAATGAAATCTTCCCCACCAGCGGAGGAATGGTCAGAATGAATGGGATCAACAAGTTTGGAGCCTCAATACCCTCAGCAATCATATCACCCTCTATAACATCCACTGTAGGGGGACTTGTTCACTTTCAATAGGAAGGAAGTCGTGACCTTCTTCCATATCTTCAACCTCAGTAACTAGCTCAACCGCAGCAACTGGTTCAGCCTTAGCAGTTAGTTCTTCCTCAACAACCGAGAGTATCATTCTACAGGTTCTAAGTCTAGTAACCCTTGAAGTGATAGGAAGGTTGTCATCATCATCTGAATCTGAGGAGAGCCCAACAACAGTTGAAGGACCTCCGAGCCTGAAGGTGGTATGGTCGAAATAGTGTCGTGCTCTAAGACCGGTGGGCCTTGAAAAGAAAAAGACAATGTGGCTATTAGAGTAACGATAAAAAAGCTGAGGGAAGTATAGAAGAATGCAAAATATGTTTTAAGTGTTATTACCTTCCGAAGCCTTTTCCTAGTTGGTGAGGCACAAGCCTTAGCAACTAATGCCACTATCTCCTGAATTGCCCTTAGCCGAGAGCAACTCATGCTGTAGACACCCCATTTTTGACCGCCCTTAAGACTTGGGCGCTACTAATTGTTTACTTGGTGATAAGGTGTGCAGTGTAAAGGTTCAATTTCTTCGGCCAGGAGAGAGTCAAATCCTAATGTTACACCCCATTTTTGGACTAAAACTATTTTGACCAAAGATTTTAGACCTTAAAACCCTCTCTTTCAAAACATTTTTGAAACAAAGTTCCTGCGATGTTTCGACGCTCGCATTTTGTTAAATGTTGCGTTTTTCGGCAAACCGAGCAAGGACAAAGTGGAAACGAATGAAAGAGAGATGAAATCTTTGAAAATATTTCAAAACACCTTGTTTAGGGGTTTGGAGTTGAGAAAAGAGGAGTGGAGGGAAGAAACCTAGTTGAGGAAGAAGTTGGGCATGAATTATTAAGAGAGAGTCGAGCAACCCTCGCTAAATCAGGCCTATCCTTTTGTATGCTTGGATTTAAGCCATGAGGCCACACCATTGGAAATCATACTTCCGGGGCTTCATTTTACACTCAAGAATCTCCTAAAGACGAGTCCGGATGGGGGATATATGATTAGTTAAAGTTGGGCATCATTCTGGTCGGACCGAAACTGAGCAGCCTTCACTAAAAGAGGGATATCTCTTAGCATAGTTGTAATTTTGATGCAGGGCTGCCACCATTGGAAAGCTTACTTCCGGGGCTTCAATTTGGACACAAGAATTACCTGAAAAGGGTCCATATGAAGGAGTTATGCCTATTTGAAGTTGGACCTGCAAAGCAGAATGTCCTGTCGGCCACAAATGTGCACAGTCGGCCATCACAAGTAGTAGGTCAGCCCCAAAGATGGCTGGTCGGCCAAGAGTGACCCAAACTCAGAATTTTTGAAGATATTTCTCCTCCAGCTGTTTCCAGCTTGTTCCAGCTATCCTAATTCAGATATTTTCGACCAAATGCTCTCTTTTTGCTATATATGAAGCTATATCTCATATATTCCAGGAGAGAACATTAATGCATTTTTGGGAGCCTCTCTCTCTAAAAAAAAATCCTCTCTCTCTAGAAAATTTTCATAGCTAAATCTCTGCCTCTCTCTCTATAGTTCACTCTCTCTTGCCCTTTTTGTGCATAGAAGTGCATAGAAGTAGAGAAATACTTCTAGTTTGCCTAGGCATCCTTCATCAAAGTTGCATATCGTTGGGATGAGGTCCCTTGGAACCTATTTTTGGGCTGTTGAAGGGTCATTTGAGCCAAGAAAGAGGCTGTTTTGCTGCTGTGCATCAAGAGGTATAACTCTCCTCTTTTGTATTTGTTTTGCACATTTGCTTCACCATCATTTTCCCATTGTTTTGGGCTATTTTTTTGGGGTGGTTTTGAACTACAAAAAGGTCTAATTTTTAGTCCTAAAAATGTTGGTTTAAGCCTTGTTTGGCTAGGGGGTGTTTCCTACCTTTTGCTCCTTGGCTTGTAAAGCCTTTTGAGCTATCTTTCAAGGCCTTTCAAAACAAATTTTTGTGGCCTTTTAACCACTGAAATCTAGAGAATTTTTAGTGGTAAAAACCCTATTTTGAGGTCCTAAATAGGAGGGGGTGGTCCCCCCTCCTCTTGTCTTGTTAGCATGTGTTGTTGGCCTATCAAATGAGCATGTATTTCTCCCTTCTTGAGGCTTAGTTTGAGCATATTTTTGTGACTTTTTGAGCATGCTTTAACTCTGATTTTGGCTGGTTTGGTCACTTCCTGCATGCATTTTGTACTTGTAGTGCAAATCGTGCTTACTAGCTTAACATGCTTGATGTTGTAGCCTATTATTTTAGCATGTATTGGCTCCATTCCAGCATATTTTTGATAATGTTTTGACATGCTTTATGACTGTTTTGAGTGGTCTTGGTCATATGAGCCATGCTTTGTATAACTATAGTACAAGTGCCTTCACTAGTCTTGATTTTTGAGGCACTTAGCATGCTATATTTATGATGTGTGCATGATATGGCATCATTTGGTATGTAATTTCAAAGCTTATATCTTTGTCATACTTCCACTTAAATCACTCTTTCATTGCTTTTGAGAAGTTGTGCCTTATGCCTCATTTATGAGCCAATACGTATGCATGCTTGTCTAGGCTTTTGGGCTACCATTTCAGCATGTTTTGGTCTTTGTTTTGGCCTAATTGAGCTTTGTCCAGAGCTGGTTTGGACATTTGTGCTATGTATTGCATGCCTCTTATGTAGTACCCTTTATTAGCCTTGCGCTTTAGGCCTCCTAGCATGCCATACTTGTGTTATTTGTGTGATATGGCATCATTTCTCATGTGATTTCAGAGTATAAACTTCTATCATACTCTCATGTTTATCACTCTTTAATCGTGTTTAAGAGTTGTGCCCTTATGCCTTGTTGATGAGCCAATGTATGAGCATCTTTATCTTGCCTTTCATGCTATCATTTCAGATCATTTTGGCTATTGTCTTGGCATGCATGAGGTCTGTTTAGGGCTGGTTTAGTCCATTGAGCAATGTATTACATAGTCCTAATGTTGTGTACTTCATTAGCTTTGATGCCTAAGTCTTCTAACATGTCTTGCATGCATTGTTTGCATGATTTAATGTTGTTTAACATGTCATTTCAATGCTAGAATGTATGCCATCGCACTCTATTAATTCACTCTTTCATGTGCTTT